TAACAGAGTATTTTCAGAACTCTGTGCGAATCCCCCTTGATTCTGGCTGCTGGCCATTTTCGTTCAGGAAATTGTCAGATATCATCAGAAAACACAGGATTTGTGCAGTTTTTGGCAAAGCGCCCACCCCTGCAAAATACAACTAATTTAAAACTTGTTCTTGCTTAATGAATCTCGGTAATCGTTTTTATATGATACAGTGTGGATATCGATCACTGTGAATATGTTGTGAATGCATAGACCACGGTAACTGTGCGTAAACTATGCTTCGACAATGACCTGTTAATACAAGTAAAATGCGGTAAATATTTCATGCCATATTCAGTTTACCTTCAAAAATGGATAGTTACCATTTTTTTTGGGACAAACTCTAATGTTAATATTGTAATAAAATGTGCATATTTTTTGTGATCATTTCTGTTTCTTCATTGTAAAAATCAATGACGACGCAACTAATTTCGTAATTTCCCCCTCAATCTGTCACATGTCATTTGCACTCTATTTCGAGGGGGGTACTCGGGTAAGCGCCCACCCCTAAAAAAATCATGATTTTCTGAGTTGAGGCTCCTGGGCATTAACGCGGTTGAGTACGGTATATGCCATCATGTGATTTCAGTTATGTCATGTCGACATGTGATTGGTGCTTTATGATTTAACTGAATTCTTATATTTTCATTACATTTATGTTTCAGATAAAATCCATTAATTACAATATTGGAGACAGTGTGCAGGAGGAGGATTTGCTGCTTGAATTTGAGTGATCATAGTGAACTTGTATGAAACCAGTATATTTTGTAGTCGTATGGAATTATGTAAACTATTTTGAATTCTGTGCACTGTTACTGCTTGTCCTAATTCAGTATAGTACTATTAACTTGCAATAAATTATATTGAGAGTGGCTTGATAGATTATGCTTTGATGTTGTAGTCAGTTTAAGATTGGCTTCAGTCTTCAGAAAGATGACATTTATTCATGGTATTTATCTTCACAACAAACAGATATACGATTTGCTACTAGATCTCACTCTCCACTCTTATGTTTTGACCTGTGTGTGTGTGTGTGTGTGTGTGTGTGTGTGTGTGTGTGTGTGTGTGTGTGTGCGTGCGTGCGCGTGCGTGAGCGCGCGTGCGTGAGCGCGCGTGCGTATGCGCGTGCGTATGCGCGTGCGTATGCGCGCGGACCTGTATCTTAGAAATGTCTGGACCAATCACAATCAAACTTCACACTTACATCATACATGATATCATACATATGCACATCAATTTGTTTCACGATCTGATTCAAGATGGCCGAATGGTAGCCATTTTTGTGTTAAAAATCATCAAAATCAAGCATTTCCCAGCTGTTTACAGATGGATTTTGTTCAAACCTTGTATATACGTTGGACATTATAGGACCTTGATGCACATCATTTTGTTTTACGATTTGATTCAAGATGGCCGAATGGCAGCCATTTTTGTGCTCAAAAATCTATATCTCCGACTTGTTTTAACTGATTATGTTCAAATTTTATATATTCGTTATACATCATGTTACATATGTTATATATATACACTGAAAGTGGTCTGAGATTTCGGTCATGATCTGCTTTGAATGTATATGTCACTCAAATATGAACGGAACGGGGACGTGTCATTGACAATGACTTGTTGCTAATTCATCTGACATGGAACCGAATAACCTTGTTACATTTACACATTAATAAAACATGGTACAATGCAGTGATCTATATGTATAAATGAACAATAGATACAGAATTCTGATTCTCATGTTGTAGTATTTTGATATAATGTTAAACAAGGCCAGTACACTAGTTAATTTAGAGCTGGCATGCTGCACCACTGTCAAGATGCCATTGTTATTTTCATTGCTTCAGATCATGTACTTTAAATCAGTGTTTATCATTGTATATTATGTTGCATGTAGTACTCTTATATAGTATGGATTATATTGCTTGTCGTACAAAAAAAACAATGTGTAATTTGTGTTATGAGAAATTATTGATGAACATAGGAGAATGACCTTTACGCATGTATTAGTCTAATTTGTAAATGTATGTAATAATAAAATTTTTGATGAAACAAATATCTGTGAATTATACTTGATCAGTCAGAGCACTGGAAGGTTAGTTAACACATGTTGTATCTTGTACAAATCTTTTCCATTTTTATTCATATGGTAACATGGCTACAAACAGTTTTAATCAACTAATTGAGAAAAACTGATTTAGTCAGTTTTATTTATTAGTAACTGCCATTTTGCAAATTGTCTAAATTAGACAAATAAATTTCTGTCACTGAAAAATTGGGGGTATATATTGGGGTGTGTTCCCCAGATTGCCTAGCAGTGTCAAGAACCCTGGGACCCACCACCACCACCACCACCACCAACGCAAATTGTTTTGCATTTACCCCAGGTTGTGCTGTCTATGAATATGGGTAGGGAGTGAGCACCCCTAATTCTAGCAGCAGCAGCAGCAGTTATGCAACAATGTCTGAGACATGCTGCGTTTGTTAAGAAAGTCTGTGAACTGAGAGATAGAAAAAATTCTTTTCAGCAATAACTAGCGACTCTGGTACAACCAGATTATGCCAGACCCTTTGAAGGGCAATGTGCTGAACTGAGCATGAGGAGAATTTGTAGGTGTGTAAGAGGAACAACTCTTGCATTGCAGACTTGCCTCTATGTGGGATTGTCAGCAACTCCAGATTGTGAAGTAAGGCGATCACAACCTTGACTCGTGTCATTGGTGTGATGATTGACAGAGACAATTCTCTGAGTGTCAACATTATCAGTGGAAACTGAGAGAAAGCTTAAACATCCAAGACTGTCAGGATTTATTTCCCATGCATACCAAACCAGTGTAGACCTGTGGTGTGATTTCTATTGAACTTGCTCCAAGTCAGATGCAGTGTGTTGTGGAGGAGTTGTGTATCCAATGACACGACAGATTCGCTACCACAGGGTTTTTGAAAAGCTATGACCTTGTCCCTATCTCCTGGTTTTTATATTTAGCTCCGCTGTCGAGCGGAGCTTATCATATGAGTGATTGTCTGTCGTCCGTGTCAATGTTTTACTTTTTCGACTTCTTCTTGAAAACTACAAGCCTGAATGCTTTGATACTTGGGTAGACCTCTCTTAGATTTGTTCATTTCATGATATCTTCAATTCTCTAATTTTGATGAATATTTTTGTCATTTTTGGTAGAAAGTGACATTTTTCACTTCTTGTTGAAAACCGCAAGTCCAATTGCCTTGATATTACATATATAGGTACTACATGTGGACCTTTCTCAGATTTGTTCTTTTTGTAATGATATCTTCAATTCTCTAATTTTGATAAATATTTTTGGTAAAAAGTGATATTTTTCACTTCTTGTTGAAAACCACAAGTCTGATTGTTTTGTTAATATACATATTGTTCATTTTCTAATGATATCTTCTATTCTTTAATTGAAATGTGCATTGCTAACAGCGGAGCTATCTCAGCCGACAGGCTGCTTGTTTATGAATACTAATTACCTCATTTGCAAAAATTATCAAATTCATAGGCATACCACAGATATCGAAAGTACCATCCATCAAATGAAACATGGTAATACTCTTGGATAATCCACATACCTGATTAATTTAGGGATGAAACCATGCATATTAATTACATAGTTTGCATAAGTTGGGTCATCTGGCCTCATTATTTTGCATAATATTGTGACATAAATTGTAAGTTAAAAGTACAGAGCCCTGGCTGTGTGAATGAAAAGCGCACATGTTTGGATACTTTGCAACAATCCATTGCACATGTTTATTTTTAAGACTGCTGATACAGTCACTGGATTGTGTTGTCAGCAGAATTTGAGATACATACATCCTGTCTCTCCCTGTGGCATAATGGTATGGCTCAGACAGTGACATGGTGATTGTGAAATACCTTGGAATGTGCTGAACCCAGTGTTGTTGGCAATGAAAATAGATATGACATCATTGATCCCAGTCTCCTACTTTAAATTGGTAGAGCTTGGATTAAGAGTGGTTTATTCCACTACCAAAATTGGCATCCTCTGTACACTGATTTGTCGGCTATTTCGAGATAACCAATCATTTCGTTATATACATTTTATTA